CGTTCTCATTGACATTGAGGAGCATCGCCTAAGTCACATTAATACGACGTGTATACATACATATATACATACATACATACATACATACATACATACATACATACATACATACATACATACATACATATATAATATATATAATATATAATTATATGTTTATCTATTTATTTATTTGTTATTCGTTTGACTCTAAACCCTAAACCCTAAACCTTAAACCCTAAACCCTAAACCCTAAACCAACTGCCTAGGCGATCGATGCATGGGCCGGTGGCCTGCGTGGCTTGCCTGTCGGGCTTTAGGGCTTTAGGGTTTAGGCTAGGGCTTGAGGGTTTAGGGTATCTTCGGAAGTAAAAGATTTTAGTGGGGTCCGATGGACCTCAGGGAGGGGTCCGATGGACCTCAGGGGGGGACCGACGGTCCCCAAGAGTTTTGGGTTGTGTGTTTTGCGTTCGGGCTCGGATTTTCGGGCTTAGGGCTATGCTGTATCCTGTACTTATGCCGGGGATCCTGTCGGGGTATGTACCGTATCATCTCCTAGTGCCTAGCACCCTGGCCTTGATCCTCAACCCTAAACCCGTAACTTGTTACTCCACTGGCTTGAACACTGTTGGCTACAGCTTAATTACATTCCCTAAACCCTAAACTTCTAAACGCTCCAAGTGAAGTCAAACCCCCTAAACCTGACTTGTGCCGCCAGGTACTTCTGATCGTTGCTCGAGTTGCCGCAGCTCCAGCTGGTCTGGGGCCTATCAGATCCGTTCTTGAAGTCCAGCTGAGCTTGTTGGTGGGCACATGCAAGCAGGGGTTGTGTGGATGCTGCATGATGGGCTCGACTCGATTGTCATGTGCAGCCTTGCAGGCAATGACAGACACAGACACGACATCGGGACATGTCATGCAGACAGACCTGAGCACTCAGAGACTGAGAGTCTTAGAGGACATACACCATCACGAGGGCACTTAGCCTTAGCGGCTACTTAGCGCTTAGGGCCTAGGGGCAGGGGACTTCGCCCGATTCGCCCCCATGGTCGGGCGAAATCGCCCAAGTAAACTGCTGGGGCAGCAAAAATTTGCTGCTCGGAAGACGGAGGAGCAGCTGCGGGCGATCCAAGAGGGGCTCCGCGAGCTGGCGAAGCAGGCCAGCTCCCTTCTCGAAAGTGCTAGAGAAAGAGGCTTTGCATTGTTTTTTGTTCAAGCTTCTGCGTTCTCAGGGAGCAGCTCCAGCGAAGTCATCGTCATCTTGGGAGGTGACCTCTCTGCATCTTTCGTCGTTTGTCTGGATAGCACTGTGCTGAACCTTGCATCTCGACAAACTCAGGGCCGTCCTGGCGGTGGTGGGGCTGAGGCTTCTGGATCTGGAGGTGCCAAAGGTTCTGGTGATGGAGGTGGGGCAAAAGCTCCTGGTGATGGAGGCGGGGCAAAAGCTCCTGGTGTTTCAGGTGGGGCGAAAGCTCCTGGTGATGCAGGTGGGGCGAAAGCTCCTGGCGATGGAGGTGGGGCCAAAGCTGCTGGAGCTGTGGGCTTCAGGGGCGAGCCTTGGGCATGCACTTCTTAATTTCCCAAACAGGTTATCTGTTATCTGGGTCGAAGCTGCGATATGATAGATCAGCAGCTAAGGATCTACTACGCCAGCTGCACGGTGAGATCTTGGCCGCCAACTCGTCGGTCGTGGTTCGGCCATTGCTGACGACTCTTTCTAGGTTGGACGTCGACAGCTTGGATCGCCTGTTGAGCAAGGATGGCATGGCTGAGAAATTCAACGTGTTTCTCAAGCAAGGTGATACCATCAGGAGCTCCGTTTTGATGATCCTGCTGCGGACCACCGTCTGCCTGCCGGTGCTGGTGCCGGCGCTGCTTGCGATAGTGGAGCAAGAGTCGTACGAGCGCCGGATGATCGCGGAGCAGGTGTTGCAGACCTGGATGCCCGGCCTGCTAGAGAGGAGGCCCGAGATGGCAGCGCCTTGGCGAAATTATGTTTGATTTTGGTGCTTGGTCCTTTTCATGCTGCTGATATGATATTATCTGAGATGAATCCGCTCACGCCGGTGCCGAAAATCCACATGGACTATCACCAGGCTCGGTCATCATAGCAGTTCAAGCCCTATGCTGATTGTACGTTGCTAAAAGCCGTTCAAGCCCTATGCTGATTGTACGTTGCTAAAAGCCATGAGCCGGAGGCCAAAGCGGCGGCGAAGGCCGTGGAGCCGAAGGCTGGGGCGAAGGCCGTCGTGGAGCCGAAGGCTAGGGCGAAGGCCGTCGTCATGGAGCCGAAGGCCGTGGCGATGGCGAAGGCCATGGAGCCGAAGGCTGGGGTGGCGAAGGCCGTCATGGAGCCGAAGGCGAAGGCCATCATGGAGCCGAAGGCGGTGGCGAAGGCCGTCATGGAGCCGAAGGCGGTGGCGAAGGCCGTCATGGAGCCGAAGGCGGTGGCGAAGGCCATGGAGCCGAGGCCGAAGGTGGTGGCAAAGACCGTCGAGGCTGGGGCGAGGCCGAAGAAGAGGCCGAGGTCTGAGTGAGTGATCCGGCCCAGAGGGGTGGAAGAAAAGAAGATGAGACCCGAGTTCTTGGTGCTTTGTTGATGCACACATTTGCCTTTGCGCTTCACTTCATCTTGATTTTCGCCCAGGCCAATTGAGTAGCCGAGCATTCTCGCTACGTACGGCCCTCGGTGTGTGGATGGGGATGATTGGAAAGGGACTTTCGGGTTTTGGGAGATTGAGCCGAGCGGGTCGTATTGTGTGGTTGACAAGAAACTAGTTTTACTCCCTGGTGCCACACCGGTCTGTGCCCAGGCCGGTTGAGCTCAGCGTTCTCGCTACGTCGGGCCCTCGGTGTGGATGTTGAGGCTTCGCCCCAGGGATGATTGGAGAGGAGTTTGTGGTTTTTACGGTTTGGGAGCCTAGCTGTGTGGTTGGTGCCAGTGTGGTTCTATTCGTTGGTGCCACACCGGTGTTCTTCACTTCATTGCGCCCCTTGCAACAAAGTTTTAAACCAGCGCCAGGCCGCGGCGACCTCAGAGGACAATCACAAAACCCGGGGCAAAGGCTTAAAATTATTAGGGATTTGATTGGAGACTTGCCATCCAGACAGCAACTATGTGTTTCGGGTTGAGTGCACGCTAGCCGAAGTGGCCTACAACGGTTGTAGTTTACCTCCACAACACACACACACACAAAGGAAAGAAGGGAATATGCAATCCAACACGCCACCGACAACCCCCCTGCTCCCCCCGCAACGCCCCCCAAGAAGCAACACAAACCAACCATCAGTGGCACACCTTCCTGTTCATCATTCCGGTAGCCGGCCGTTGGGGCATGGTTAGGGGTGTTTGCAGTGTTTCTTGCCCCGTGCTCCCCCCACAATGCTTCCCAATAAGCAATGCAAACCAAGCATAAGTGGCACACCTCCCTGTTCCGGGAAGGTCGGTTGAGCTCATCGTTGTGGCCACGTGGTGCTACGTTGGACCCTCGGTGTCCCCAAACGGGCTCAGGGGGATGACTGGAAAGGTAGTTTGGGGTTTTGGGGGTTTGAGCTGAGCAGGTCGTGTTGTGTGGTTGCAGCCTGGTTTTTGTCCTTGCTGCCACTCTGGTGTTGTTCTGCGGCCTTCGGTGCGGATGTTGAATTCAAAGCAGTTCGTTTTTTGGGTGGTTTGGGAGCCGAGCGGTTCTCAGGGCGGGTCCGATGGACCCGTAGGGCGGGTCCGATGGACCTGTGCGGGTATGGGGGGGTTTAGGGGTTTAGGGCTCCAATTTTTTTCGCGTCCGCGAAAACGGGTTGTCGGGTTTTGGCCTTCATTGCGAATTGTTCTCTGCGTGTGTAGCTCAGACTGGCAGAGTCGTGGCATGTCAGGAAGAGAGGCAGACAAGCCCTAAAGCCTAAACCCTGCCAGGCATGTCCGAGAGTGAGTGTCAAAAACCCTAAACCTAAACCCTACAACCCTAAACCCTAAACACTTTTGCAACAGGCTTGCCACTTCGCCCGTTAAACCATAACCCTAAACCCTAAACTTCTTAGCATTGCAAAAATCAAACAAATAATTCACTTATCTTCAGCCGCCATCCTGCCACTGCCGTGGCGACGAACCGATGCGAGCCAGATCCCCCGACGGTTGGCGCCTCAGATTGACTTCAGGCAGCAACGAGCCCATATGCTGATCCGCCTGTCCTCGGCCAGGCGAGCATGCTCGACGTTGCTTGGAGAAGTATGGCAATGTCATCTCCTGAGAACCCTTGTCAGCCTGCGGCCGTTTGCGTCGGCGTGGACAGGTGTCGAAGTGTCTTCTTGTGCCGAGGCCAAGGAAGTTGTTCGACGCTGTAACCGGTGCAAATTCCTGAAGAACAAGGAGAAATGGCTCCGCCGATTGGTGTATCGTGACGGTGATGTGCAGAACACGTGGCTTTGCGAAGCACCGATGACCCAGGCTTGGGGCCTAGGCTGCCGGCTTTGCCGAGCGAAATGCGCAACACCGGAGCAATCGTCTTCGCCCTTCGTGCGCCTGACGAAGGGAGCCGTCTGCAGGGAAGCGCCTCCTACGCAACTCATGGGTTTTACTTTGTGCGCATCAAGTTTGTCTTTTGCCTTTGCATGCATGCGAGGTGCCTCTTACTCGTTTCGGAGATGTCCTTCAGCTTCAAGATTTGAAGCGCCACGAGGAAACCGACCTCCACATCAACAGCCTCGTGGTCGAGCAGCCCTTGGAGACCGTCTCTGCGAAGGCCGATGCCACGGTTCCGACACCCGGCCAGGTTCACTTGGCCATTCAGGTCCTCAGGGAGCCCCACAGCGGGCAGTCCGTCGGCTATGCGTCGCGGTCCGAGCTGGCGAATCGGTCGGACCCGGGAAATTTTCCTCTGGGGCGTTCGTCCCCGTGCGAGCACGCCAAGATCGTTTCGGCGGTGGCGAGCGTCTTGAGAGACCAGGCTCGCCCTTGAGCCACACGGAGAACCTGCATCTGAAACACACCTGCAGGACAGGCAGCTCGCAAAACGTTGCAAAGCTGCTGGTTGGGCCGAGGACCGTGGACACAGTGGTCGGTCGCATTTTGCCTTCATTGTACTTGCCTTGCAGGATGTCAGCCAGGACACATTGGCGGTGAAAGTAAAGCTGGTTGATAAGAACTTCGTTGTTCATCGACGCATCCTGGAGTTGTCTCGGTGCAATGGCCAGAAGGCCAGTTAGCTGCTTCTTCAGTGACGTCCCTTAGTGGCTGCCTGTCTTTTGCCAGACATCGCTACAAAAAGCCGACCACATCCAGATGGCCCTGGAGAGATTTTGCCCGGACGAGGGCGACCGCTCGGCGTTTGCGAAGACTTTCAAGGACATGGTCCGTCTTCCAATGCTCTGAGACGCCCGCCCAATGTGCCACAGGTCTACACGGTGGACGGCGAGCGGGCAGAGGGATTAGCAGGCCGCTTTGCGGCAGCAGGGGGCTCGGCTGCTTTAACTCACTTGGCGGGGCAACTGCTTCATGGGTTTGCCCCGGAGGTCAGAGGAATCCTGCCTTCCTTATGTACGACCACGAGATGCTGCATGCACAGCGCTCAGAGGTCGCTCGAGAAGAGCATAAAATCCGACGTTCGACTGTCTGAGCTCATCCACCTCTTTGTTCTTCGTTGCTCCACGAAGAGCAAGCACGACCCAGGGAGCTTCTGGCGGGCTTTGGCGCACTCCCATAAGTTGTGCGCCCGGTATTCAGAGGCAGTGCGAGGCCAGTTGGATGGAGTGGCGGAAGTGCTGGGCCAAGACTTCTCCTGCCACTTTGCAGCTCAGCGATTCGACACGATCACTATTGCGCTGAAGAAACTGATTCTCTGTTTGTCAGCAGTGATCCGCTTCCTGACCGAGCTTGCTGCTCTCAAGAATGAGAAATCCCAGTGGGCATTGTCTTTGCTGTCTGCCCCTTGGATAACTTAACAGTGCAAGTCTGTCCCTCCCGCCGTCCTTGCTAAAGGCTAGGCAGTTGCCGCTATTGTCACACTGTGTCCAAGGTGTTGTCGCCCTCCAACATCAGACTTCTTGCCCTCGCCACCGAGTGGCTCACGATGGCGAGCCACTTCGTGCACGAGTACGATGGGGGAAGCACAAAAGAAGGTGCAGAGCCTGCCCAAAGCTCTGCCGTCGCCAATGTTGCCCGTTGCTCGCGCCTTACGCTGGCCCTTGAGCAGGACCGCACCGGGCTTTTCAGTTCTTCTTCAGCACGGGACTTCCAATCTTAAGTCCGAGGACTTGAACCGAAGATTCAGCTTCAAGTCGCTGGACGGCGAACCGCAGCGACCCTTGGTCCTGTCTCCGCAGTACACTGCGGGCTATCTGAACATCGCCGAGCAACAAATGCAGGCTGCAAGCCGCTGCTTGTCTTGACTTGATCGGTAAAGCCGTGTCGCCCAAATGGGTTGCCAGAGCCGGCGAGCACAAACATCCCAGGTGGTGCGGACATGGCTGTGGTGCATGATGGCAGGCTGCTCTTCCATCTGGAAGGCCATCCTTTCGGGCCATTGTTTATTTCGCGGTTGAAGGGTCCTCTGCCTCCAGGCGATGCGAGCGATGAGGCCCGAGCTGCGGCGGCAGCGGCTGAACTCGGAACTATACAGAACGTCTCGGATGTGTTTTTGGGCTGTGTTCAAGCCTGGCACACGTCTGGGGTGGGGGCCGCACTGGCTCCGTTCGATGTACTCCATTGGGTGGCAAAGAGGAAGGATGCAGACTTGTGCCTAGATAGCATTTAGTGGCTAGTTCGTAGCAAGGCTGTGAACAAGAATTCCATTACGTCCTAGTACAGGGATGAGATTCTGGCTCCGCTGGCGAAGCTCTTGGAACTCGACGGCAAAGCCCTTAGAGAACAATATCTTTGTGCAAGACCCACCGCCATCTTCCTGGCGAGGCTGGGGCCTACTGGTGCTACCTATCCTTCCCATGCTCAGACGAAACCATCCCGCAGGTCAGGCGAGCAGGAGTTTTGGCCGGCCACGATGCAGAGGTTTCGGAATCTTTGTGCTCTGAAGACAGCGGTCCACAGCTCAGACCCGGCTGCAATCGGGGCGGTGCTTCTCCGGTTGAAGCTGCAGCAGATTCCACGTCTCAGGTCCGGTACCTCCTTTGCATCTTCGACTCGACGAGTGAGATCGAGAGTAGCTTCAGCACCCTGCGCCTGTTCTCAGGACATGGTCTGCTTCTGAGCTGTGTCATTCGCTTTGTGTCCGCCCCTTTCAGGAGGAATGAAGGGCAGCATGACCCCTGCCAATGCCGATGCCTACATCAAAGCGTGGTGCGACTGTCCTCCTCTGGACAAAGTCGTTTTCTTCGATGGCAAGAACTATCAGCCCCGTCCCCTGTATTACAAGATCATTGGAAAGTACAAAGAGATACATGGGGGTAGTGGTTCCAACACCAAGAAGACTCGACTGCCACGAAGGCAGTTTGTTTCCAGAAAGCGGAAAACTGGATTGAACGCCTTTGAGAGGCGGCGGCAGGCAGAGCTGCAGGCTGCCGAATCCCGGACAGGAGAGGAGACTTTGGATTTGGAAGCCTTAGATGCTGTTGCGACATGCAGTGCGAGGGCGAGGCAGACCGAAACTCAGGTGAACCTCCGAGAAGCTGTGAAGAAGCTGCAGGCAGACCTTTGGCGGGACTTCACCTCTGGGCCTTTGTGTGGGACGGCGCAGAAGCTCAAGCTGCACGAGAAGGAACATCTTGAGGACAAGGAGAAATTGGGGCGGTTGGAGCAAAGGCATTTGCAGGAGCAGCATGTGTCCTTGCCTCCTGGCTTCTGTGCCTTCATCCTTCTTGGTGGCTGCAAGGAAGCGAAGACCCGTGTCAAAAAGCAACTGCTTCGCCTTGGGGTATGTGGCTCTGTTTATGGCGGCTCTGACTTCCTGAACTATGTCTCCGAGGAGACGCTGCTTGCCAAGGTCGGCTCAAATCACTTCGTCTACGTGTGCTGTGACAGCGATAGTTTCCTCCGTGCCATCCATCCGTCAGTGCCAGAGGGTGACGATGTGAAGGAGGCATGCATCAGCCTCGCAATCCGCATCTTGGGTGGGTTCGTGGCGACGGAACAGTGGGTTAATCATGCGGCTAAACGGCCGCACGAGCCTCCGGCGCCGATCTTGCGGCTGCTCCCGGCGTATGAACAGATGATCCAGTTCTACGTGTCGGACACGGTTCACGAGAAGCTCAAGGGCATCATGAGCCATCTGAAGAATGCCTTGGACGAAAGCGTCTTAGCCCCCGGCGTGCGGTGGCTGATGAGAGAGAAGAAGAGATTCTTGTGTTCTGGCGGCAAGAAGTTCAGAAAAAAGAGTCAGAGCCGTTGTTTCGGCCATTCGGTGTCTGCTAAGGGAGTCTGCTGGGGGACCCCCTGGCCCGACAAGCGTGCCCTGCGCTGTCGTCCGAGGGTGGGGTCCATGGGGGGACCCCTTCCAGCGACACACGGTTCTCTCCAGGTTTCGGGATCTTGGAGTTTTGTTGCTTGAGGATGCATGGATATGGATTGTCGGGTCAAGATGGGTAACGCTGGTCCTGGTCACATCCCTGGTCTGTCCTGGTCTTTGTCTTGGCGGGGGGTGTCTCTGGACGCCCCGCTGCCCGACGAGCGTGCCCTGCGCTGCTGTCGGAGGGTGGGGTCCCTTGGGGAACTCCTGTGTCCTACGCCCAGCTTTAGAAAAAAAGACTTTTGACAATCAGAGCAGCCAAGGAACCGGAAGCGTGCCCTCATCGTCGTGCCTGAGGTGCAGGAGGTTGCTCGGAAACGGCTCGTAAAGAAGGGCGTGGCTGGAAGATTGGTGTCCATCAAAGACTTCTATGGTGTCCTCACCAAGTGTCTTGGACGACAGCAGCACCAGTCCTGGGGTTGATGTGCAGGCGACTAGATTTCCTTCGTGTCTCAGGTGGCTTTAACTCTGTCGGTGAGCTGGCGAAAAAATCCGCAGGCGTGCGGTCTTCTGCCCACCTCGTGCAAGGTGGCTGTACAGGGGTCAAGGACCGCGCAGGGGTCAAGGACCGCACGGTCTTTGATAGTTTTTTTTGCGTCTGCTGAGCAGCGGACTGCAGCTGGGGAAGGACATCGGGGTGCAAGAGTGCAAGCAAACCTGCTTAGGCTTTCTGTTGGTTCAATATTTCGCGGCTCCGTTTCATCATGTTGCAACACTTGATCTGTCAGGCCTGCTCCTCGCAGGCATTTTTGCTTCGCCACATTTTGAGGTTGCGTGCCCTAAAAGGGCGCTCTGGATCGATCGACATGGGCAAACGTCCGTCTGCCGGTGGCAAGACGAAGAAGTCGGCCAAGGCCGAGCCGGAAGAGAAGGTGGAGGTGGAGGATGACCAATGGTTGTGGTCCAAAATTCACGACTGCATTCGTCTCATCCGAGACGCTGGTCATTGGCCCGAAGCTGGCTCCGACCCCCTGCCGGCTGAAGGGCTCCTGCCCTTGGGTCCTGATTGGACGGGTGCCGACGTGAGAGTGGATCAAGAGTGTCTTGGCTTGAAGTTGTCCGGCTTTCGCTCTCCCGATCTTGCTGCTGCTTACCTTAAAGGCAGCACTCGCGAGGGTGTGGAGTGCTCGGTGACCTGAACTGGGAACGAGCCGGCCCGGGCTGTGTTCTTTCCTATGGTGACGTGACGGATGCACGAGACTTCCATCTGAAGAAGACGCACGTTGACCCTTTGCCATGCACCATGGTGCTTTGCCAGACAGAGACCAAGAGGCCGGTAAGAATCATACTAGCCGCTTGTAGTCTCTTGGGTTCGGATTTTCCCTCAGGGGAGACCTCACTCCGGTGAGCCACTTGCCCCGCCTGGCGGCCTTCGTTATTGAGTGGGCGGCTCTGTTGGAGGCCAAAGATTCGAAGGCGGACGTGTTCAAGAACCGTGCCCGAGTGTCTTGGATGTCAAATGTATATGTCTTAAAATCCCTTCCGGTCCAAACTCCGCAACCGAGGCCCTCCCTTTGCTGTTCGTGCGATGTTCTCCAGATAGCGTGGACGCTTATTGGGAAGCTCACAAGAGAGGAGAATCCGTGCAAGCCGCAGCTTTCCAGGCCAGTGTCACTGTTAGCTGCTAGCTGCTACGGCTGTGATCTTGTCGCCTGCAGTTTGCCAGGAAGGCAATCAGTTTGCTTGCCGCTTGAGTGATCGCTTGTACATGTCGCCAGACTTATTATATAAGTATTGTCCGTTCCATGCCTGCATACGCCGGGATGGGTGCTCTACAAAGGCTGCAGCAGCTACATGCTGGCCTGGGAAAGCCTACCAATGCGGAGGGGCTCTTCCTAGCCTTTCAGGTGGGCTACGCACCTCCCGTCACCCCCCCCCCCCCCCCGCTGACTTCAGTGCGAGGAGCAAGTCAAAAGCGAGCGGCTGACTTTCGGCTCGGGCGACAGCGAGGCTGCCAAGCACATGTCGTCACACAGACTTGCTAGACTCTGCTAGACGCTTTTGTTTGTGTCAGGTCAGCTCCGAAGACAAAGTGGCCAAGTTGCTTCGTCTGCGGAAGCGTTGCCAGGAGGCCAACTGCTGGGAGTTTCTCAAGAGTATGCAGTTCTTTGAGAAGAACCCGACATGGGCAAGCCGATGGTCGGTGGTTACTGGGTTTTGGAGTATCGCTCTGTCATACTTTGTTGAAAGGAGCCAATATTATGAAGTGCCAGAGCATGTTTCTCCTCCTTGGTTCCTTCAAAAAAAACCAGGTAACCCGAATCCTCGGAATCGCGAGCAGTCCCGACGAGTTCGGCTGGGTCATCAGTCGGTATCTCAGCATCTCTCACTGTCACACCGACTTAGGCCCCACCCGCACGCCTTGGAACCATTGTCGTTGAAACTTTGGGCTCAGGACAGCTCTATGCCGGCATGAAGAAGAAAGACGACCCAGCTTGGAGAATGCCCGTTGCAAAGATGAGCAGGGACACCCTCTTGGACACGTTTCATGCGCTGGTGGCCACTCGCCAAACCATGCAGGCGGGGGTGGGCTAGAAACCTTCGTGTCATTTCGTTTCTCTGCTCAAGACCACGTGCAGGCAATCATAGAGGCAACGTCGGAGAAGGAGAATCCCTCGGTTTGGAGGAGCCTGCTTTGCAAGTACGTCAATCCGGACAGCATCGTGCTGGAGGGAGACGGCGCCGACTTTCACCAGGAGGCCTTCCTGGGCAAATCCGCCGAGCAGGCAGCCGTCTTGGACCTGATGAAGCAATTCCTCGATTTGGAGCCTTTGCCAACCATGTAT